ACTAATTAGAAAAATTCAAGTATGAATCAACCAAAATAAATAAAGGCAAATAAATGAAAAAATAAATGAATAATAACTAATTTACTAACTAACTATAACATTTTACACAAGGAAAGTAAACAAAATATATCAACCAGACCAAAAAATTATAAAACAAATTAGATGAAACAATTAAAAAAAAATAGCAAGACAAAACAAAATGGACAAAACAGAAAAGTGAAAAAATAAGCAAACAAATCAAACTAGAAACAAGCTAGAAAAGTGACACAACCAAACAAAAACTAATAAAAAAAAATGGATTTAACTAGATGAAACAAAACAGAAATATAACATAGAAAGACACGCAAGCAATAAAACAAGCAAACAGAATAAACAAATAATTGAAAACTGTTATACAACTTGTATAAAAAAACACATTGTACAAAATGCTGGGTTTCACAGAATCCCTTCAAGTTTTCCCAAAATGCATTGATTATTAACTTAATTATTTTTATTTTTTATGTAAGTTAATTGAACATAAAAATATGAGGTTGTACCGCCAAAAAACTTTTAATTGCTTTGATTCAGCTTATTTTAAATGCATAGTTTGATCAAGCAGCAAAAATATTTTTGAGTGCAGACAAAACAAATAAAATAAGCAAATAGAAACAAAATAAATCAAACTAACAAACAAAAGATATACAAAGCGTAAATTATATAAGCCATGCGAATAAACAAAAAAAATGATAAAACCAAAAAGGCAAGTAGCAAACGACAACAAAATAGATAAAATCAGAAGAATCAGAACTAACCCAAAACAGGGCATTGTTTATGTTCAGAAGGTGTGAAGGAGTTTGTTTTATTAAGATTATCAAGTCTCCATAATTATGCATGCTTCAATGACAAGGCCACAGATGCTGTCAAAACACATTGTCATTAGCTGATAAATGTATTGTGCACAATAACTAAAAAAAAATTTTTCTATACACTATATATCGCTTTAAGCAGAAGCAGGTGGTTGCTGATTTGGAGACAGTAGCTTAGGCTGAAATCCTCTTAAACCTTATAGAAAAACAGTAGCTGACTGTCTTCAACCACACACACACACACACACACACACACACACACACACACAGGCAGTGCAAAGAAGACCTTATCTATGAAAAATCACTTATCTTTCGTTCGGTTGAAAAAAACATCTCACTTCTCATGTGGTTAACATGACCAATTGATCTCATGCACATTTTGTTTGCTGTCCCATTATAGAACAGAATGTGAGGTTATAAGCACATGACGAGGACGTTCATTTCATCCTCATGAACAAAGGGAAATAGTTTGTATGACACGTGTCAGAGTGATATTAAAATCTGCATATTTTATTTGTTTCTATATAATTCACTGCGGTTTCTTGCTCCCTCCAGCGGTAATTTCGAAAACATATATTTTATCTTTCAAACAAAGGGGGGCAGCACAGACCATATTCACTTATAAAATAATACATTTTCCTATTGCGCAATTCTCCATATGGTATTAAAGTCTGCATGTAATTCAAAAGTTCAGCATCAAAGTGCTCATCTGTTATTATTTTGCCAAACAGAAAGAAGTGCTTAGATGTTAGAATTTAATATTAAAACGCTTTAATCACTTGCACTTCACGTTTCTGATGACTCACAAAGAACATCCTGTTTCACTGGAATGGCCAGTTACTACAGTTTTTAATGACTGACTAATGTTGATAAAATGTTTAATTAAAAGTCTTTATGGTTGGTTCTTTGCATAATAATAGCTCAGTTCTTTCATTTGTTTTTCTGTGAAATTACATGTAGACTTTAAATGCCAGCAGTTTGGGAATTCCTTATGTTATCGGGAATCGATTCCTTTGAACACTTTGAACTGCACCAGTGATTCGTTTTTCTCAGTTGGTCATATGGCAAGCTGTTTTAACAGTTACCATATAAACTGGGGGTTATCGCGGACGAAAGTGAGGAGGGTTGGGGAGTCGCAGAAGAAAGTGAAAATGAACAGCAGACAGGGGAGGAGGGCTTTTGGGGAGAGGGATCAGTAAAATGAGGTGCCAGATCAGATTTCAGAGGTTCCGGATCCGGCGTGTTCCGGTACAACTTAAGCTCTGTGTAAAAGTTATAAATCAGTACTAGAATGTAATCAAAGGCATGGCATACTTGTAATATTTCAAAAGATTTGTCTACCTGTTACTATTAGAATTATTGTTAGTTAGTGATTAATAGGTGCACTGAAAAAGAAAACTACAGTACCGGTCACATTTGCAAGACAAATCTAGAGTACTTAATATGTTAATCACATGCCCGTAGAAGTAATTTACCAAAATGTTAATAGTAACAACTAAAATAAATACCAGTGTCTAATAAATTAGTAGTACAGTAGTAGAATATGTATTTAATAGTATCAAATAACTAAAGTGCTAAATAACCTAATGTATATGTAACATCTACTGAAAATGTAAGAATACACACTTTCCTTCAGCTTATTCTCTTCTTTATCAGGGGTTGCCAGAGAGGAATGAACCACCAAATACTCTGGCGCATGCTTTATGAGCTGATACCCTTCCCGACACAACCCAGTCCTGAGAGTGCATTTACTTGTGCAACCTCCAGTGCTGGGAAACTCTCACACACACTCACTAACATGCAAACTCACAGAAATGCTTCCTGGCCCAGTTGGGACTTGAACCATTATGCTGCCTGCCTAGTTAGTACTTGCGTCTTTTTAATGCCTCAGTTCCACTGAACATTATGACATACCTGTCAACATTGGGATGTCAAAATAAGGGATTGATAAGCCCCACTTTTGCTCTGCTTCTAATCGCATGAACAGAATCCATTTGGGAAACATTGTTTATTTATCAATATGGAGAGTGTCTGACAGTCACGCATCGCCATATAAGCCGACTGTTTTAAGGATTGCATAGGACGGGCGAAGGTGCCTGAAATAGAAAAGGAAAGAAATCCTGCCATTTTTATATTTATTTCAAAGTGTTTTAAAGTGCACGCATACACAGCATAAACAAAGCAGCATTTAGTATCTGTATCCATTAGTATCCATTATCACTGTAATGGTCACTCATCACGGAGGGATTCACTTCTGGAAATATGTCTGATCATCTAATAATCCATATCAAATATTTGAGAATGTAGTGAAAGTACAGTCGGGCTCTTTGTGTTCCTTCTTGACTTGAATTGTTTACTGGCACTTCATTGTGCTCTGATTCGTTGCTAAATAAGCAGTCAGAGCACTCTCTTCAGCCGACGACCTGATGCCAATTTGACATGCTAAATCAGGCCAATGAGCCCTGACGTTAGCGTGACGAGAGGCGTGTTCAGAACATACAAAACCTACTAGCTGGACCAACGCTGGCCGGCAGAATGACAGTGCACAATGGCCGACCTTTAGCTTGGTCTGTCTTGTGCTGTGAAATGCACTCCTGCCAATTTATGCACCCCCTTGCTCAATTGACTACCTGATTCCCTAATTCAAACTACACCTGCAAACCCTACCCTCACACCTAATCCTGACTTTACTCTACAGGTTATTGTGGTGAGGCATAATCTAGCAGGAGTGCACTTTTCAGCACTACACCAGCCCTTAGCCTTACTTGGTAGACGTAGTGTAGGCCAGACAGTTAGACCAACGTCAGTTTCACTTAAATAAAAGCAGCAGTTCATTCCATTTACATATTGCAAACTTGAGTTAATTCGCCACATGACAAGTAGAGAGAGGAAGCATCACCTCTCGCGTTTTCCACATATTTACATATGACAGGCTTATGAACCACAATGGAGGCCATACAGCAGATTTCTTCTTAGCATGTGGCTGTTTGTCACAAAAAGACTAGCTTTGTTTGAGCAGGGAGCATTGCTGCATGCTGTTATTGTATTAATAAGGTCATGTCTTTCATCTGTGTTTTGAAAAATAGCCCTTCTTGTGTTGTCGTTGCCTGTCTTGTTGCACAAGCTGATGATGTTTGATGAATTCTCAGCATTCAGTAGTGAGTCTACTAGCTCCACCTATTTGGTACCATAGTGTTGTGCAATCCCAGTAGCCCCAATTCCCAGTGGCAAATTATTCTGGCCCAGATTTATCATTAAGCTGGCACAGCAGGCATTCATCTGGCACAGATATACAGGATGTGGGCCAAACATGACCTGGGTTTGGTAGAGGTTTGGTACACAAGACATGGACCAGACATTGGCCCAGATGTTAAAAATTGTTATGTGAGCCATGTAGGTTTGGCCTTATGTGTCTTGACCCACATTTAGAATACATTTGAAATATATTTGAAAAATGAAATATTTTAATACACAAAGGCATTTCCATCTTCCTGTTTGCATCTTCTAATTTAATGCAGGAAACAATCAATATTTCATTATTTAAATAATCTGTTGTTTCCTGTATGTTACAAAATAACTGAATTAAACCTACATTAAATATATTTTATTAATAAAATGACTATTGTACAAATTATATTATTCTTAACTATTACTAACAATTCCCATTATTAACATGCCTAAATCACAATGCATCATAGGCTTATCAATGTCATTGCAGTTGTGACACACCCAGTCTGGCTTTCAGACAATGGCCAAACATGGCCCATATCTTACCCAGTTCCTGCCCACATATGGGTTATTAACTTGGCGTAGACTTGGCCCAGATATGGAACATCTTTGGCCCTTGTCTGAAAGCCAGACTTGGTCCAGTAATGTACTGTAATTCACCGTAATTCACCGTAATTCAAAAGCTGATTGTTGGCCAGAGCTCGGCCAGAGAAAATTTGCCATGTGGGTATGAGTATATAAAAATGATTCAGTGAAAAACACATGGTACCAAAATAATAAGCACTAGGAGATCTCATAACTCTTTGAGAAAAATATACAGTTTTTAAAAAAATATAAATGAAAACTGATTGAACGTTTAATAAATGTTAAAACCGCTTGCCATAGCCTCGAAGCCTATCATCATACTGTAGCTTTCACAGTGATTATTGCGTTTTTGTAAGGCTAGCATAAAATATTAAAGATATGCGTCAATAAAACTGTCAGATCAACGTTGTAAACATTTCTTCAATGACTCTTCGTGTAACTTCTCGCGTGGTAAATAAAACGTCAGAACCTACTTTTTTTCGGAATTGTTCGGACAGATTTTGTGAGTCGGCTCAGACAATTCATTTTAAAGGATCCTCCTCCTCTTTCATCGCGGGAATTTTTTTATAGGAAAATCCCAGATGCTTTAAAGGTAACGTTATTGCACTTTGAAAAGGAGAAGTACGTCCACTGAAACCCATTATCCTCAACCGTGCACGACGATCAGCACACCTGGTAAGAAACACGAATTTATTTAGTTTTGCTTTAGTATTTTGTCAGTATTTGTGTTAAGAAAGTAGATCACTGGTACTTTCAGTAAATCTGATCGGTGTAAAATTAATTGACTATACAGTTTATTATTAAGTGGGCTAGTGTAAGTATTATTAAATAGTAATTATGTATTATTTACTTCCGGTACTGATGAAAGCATGGCACGAATGTGTTATTTATTTTGTTTATAGAGAACAATCCCGCACAGAATCATGTCTGGAGTCGAACAGGTCTACTTCATCGGAACCGCAGTTTCTCTTCTGGTTGCTCTGTTTGGTCTGGCTAGTTCAGTCGGAGGTCTGATGTATCCTCAAGGATCATGTCTGGCGGATGACAACTGGACCGTGTGGACTGTTTCACTGACGGAAGCTGCTGACAACGCCAAGCGTGTTGGATCCAAATGAACTGGAGCAGTGATGGGATCAATTGCACTAGGAGAAATAATCGGTGTATTAAGACTACTGAGGATTAATATGAAATTGTTTCCTCCATTACACTGTGAGCTGTGTTTTGTTGAGTCATGTGAAATATGAGACAGTTTGAAGAACAATGATGGCAAGTGCAGTGCAAATAGTAGTTTCTTTTTTCTTTTGTTGTTCTGGTTTCTGGGTATAAACTGTATTAACATCCTGGACTGCTGTAAAATAATCATGTTTGTACCGCATGTGTGAATGCTTTGTCATTGATTTTACATACTTCATAGCTATTCTTACACTGTATTCATGGAGAAACTGCACTGAAAAAAAATCTACACACTTTTTCATATGGTTACAAAGAGAACTAATGGATTGAAGTTAGTTGTATGACATGTAAATGGATGTAAAAATGGCATACAATTATCATAAATGCATCTCATAAGGAGATATGATTTGAAAAATATATATTTAAACTAATATTTACATATTTGTATTGGTTAAATATATCTAAATGTCCCTTTTTATTTAATATTTATGTAAATATATGACATTTTGTGTTTGTAAAATATAAACATGACCTTGTCATATGATTTATATATATTGATATCAGATTATTTGTACATTGTTTTTGGATGATCAAAGTAATATAATAATACAGTAAAATAGATACAATAGTAAAATAGCCAGATTAATGGAATTGGTAAATTTCACAAATAATTCTGAAGTAAAAAGGAAAGTGAAAAGTAAAATGTTTGAAGTACATTTCCCTAAAGTTTTTTTTTTTCAGAATCTGCTCCAATATTTTGTTTACATATTGAATATAATATACACTGTCACTGTGCCATTAGAAAACAAATGTTTGTTATTATTTTTTTAACACCTTTCTTTGTACTTTTTATGTAAATGGGGTACTGACAGATACTGTATGCAGGACAAATACAAAACTGCTGTTACTTAAACTCTGTTTTATACTGAGGAATAAAAATATGTATACAGTAGCACTGTCGCCTCGCTTTGTTTTAGAAATTTTAAACTAACTACTTGATCATAACTCCTGAGGTTGTGGTAAGTTTGTTTTGAGAGGTTTTTATGGTCGTGATTGTTCTAAATCTACACCAAACAGTAGGCGTAACTTTGTTTATCAGTTAAAATGTTAATTACATTTCAGGTTTTCCTGATCAAGTTCTTTCCCGTCTACTCATAAAATCTTGCAAAGAAAGTGACATGTCTTCACAAAGCTGAAGCTTCAAACCTTGACGTAGGCGTTGTTATTGAGCAATATGATATAGACAAGCATTTCTGGGAAAACCACTGCCCTACTTTTTTCATCTGAGGGAAAAATAGTCATTTACTTGTGGAAATCGATCACATCTATAATGTTTGATTCTTATAGAAATTAATTGTGAGTTTATATAGTTACTTGAGATTTATTATTAAAACATGCAATCTAGATTACTCAATCAGTTCTAACGACAATTTTAAACTTGTTATTTTTTATGGATTACATGAATGCAAATGACTGCACAGTGGGACTTAATTATTCAACATTCCAATTTTGCTAGTTTTTAAAGTTTTCCAATGCAATATTGTTAAATTAACTTGTTATCCAACGCTTACAACTTTGTGGATAAATTAAAATAAGCTATAAAAAGACTAAGTAACTTCATGTAAAAGTAATCCAGAAAGTAGTCCAAATCCATTACACAGAGTATAAAAGTTCTATTGCTATCAGTAAAACAATCTGTAAGTAACCAACCCAGCAGTAGTCATCAGTTACTGTTTCATGTTTTTGTCAGGATGTTCTGATTAATGCAGTGATATTTAGTTGACAAGTTTAGTCACATCCCGTTCTTGTAACATGGAGTTCTTAAATTAACATTGATTCTTGGTATTGTGTAAAGTGCAACATTAAAGATGACTACAATAAATGGGGGGAAGGATAAAGATGTTGAGTAAAGCCATAAAACTGTACAGTTGACAGTGGATTTAAAAGAGATATAGAGTAACACATAATAATTAATTCAAAATTATTAATATCAGTTCATTATTTACAAGTTAAATGATTAAAATCCTCCCTTCTGCCAAAAAAAATAAAAAAATAGTGTCTGACAGTAACTAGCTGGCAATGTAATGTAATTGCATTAACAAAACTAGAGTTTGAGACATTTATTGGTAACACTTTAAAATAAAAGTACATGAATAATAATGTGTTAATGTGTAAACTAAACATTATTAAGAACTAATCCTTATGCGCTAATCATGTAGGCTACCAACTTTAACTACAACATCAGTCACTTGAGTTCATGTGAACGGCTAACTTAATTCTTGTACATTATTGTTTGTTCATTAATGTATTATTTAATTTTAGCTTAATTTAACCATTATGATCTCATGATATGTTAGTGTATAATTATCACGAGTTTACTTGGAGGGGCTCATCATCATTAACCCATTTTAACTACGTATGAACTCCTTAGGCAGGTCCATATAGTGCGTTTACAATGAATAGCAATATAACGAGTTTGGTCAATATCAACATGAACAGTTTAAACACAGGAGTTCATGAGAATGAGTTAAGGATGATGTACCCCCTTCAAGTAAAGTCATGACATAATTATACAATAACAGAACATGAGATCATGTTGGTTACATTTACCATAAACTTTAATGTTAATTAATACATTAATTAAAAATGTACTAACAAGTAATTAAGGTAGCCTTTATTTACACATGAACTCTTACGACTCATGTTAAGGTTGTTCATGATTAGCAAGCTCTTTAACTCATCATTAATTCATAATAATGTAATGTTTAGTTTACATATTAATACATCATTATTCATGTACTGTTATTATAGTGTAATGCATTTTTGAAAGAAAAAACTGTTTAAAAAGTATTCTCACACAAATAAATGCGTTCATCTCTTAGATTTTATAGTATAAACCCAAAGCGACACTATTAGATGCCTTTTAGATGAACAGTGTGTAATGTTTTCTGAAAATATTCTGATTTTGTTTTTATATTTTTATGACACACACATATAGAGCTTCGATCTACCTCACGATTAAAGGGCGGGGTCACTAATAGTTATATTAAGTAATTATAGTTATACAAGTATTAATTTGCTGAAATGAATAATAAAAGGAACTGCATTCAGCAACACAGAGGCAGAGAAAGTAATACTGATGCAACGAGGTCACGGGGGTGGAGTAATGGACTCTTCAAGGCGGCCCAACCAATGAGAATAAAGGACTGTTTTATAGTATTACACCTTTCAAAAGCTTACTTGTTCAAATATTATCTATATATAATACGCCCATTAACTTCTTATAACAAATATGGCAACGCACATGACGCATGCTTCAGCATGTGGATGCTAGTGAATAGCTTTCACAAGACTTTACAGAGTCAGACTTCCTTAATAGTAAAATAGACTTGTGTGTGAACTTTCGTTTTTATGCTTTATGGTGCAACAGCGCACTCTTTTGGAGAACACATGAACAGAATACACACCATGGCAAACCGTTTTAACATTTCTGTAGGCCAATCGGTTTTCATGCTGCCTGTAGCACATGTGTCAAACTCAGTTCCTGGAGGGCCGCAGCTCACCACAGTTTAGTTCCAACCCTGATTAACACACCTGATCCAACTTATTAAGTCATTTAGCCTTGTTTGATACAGGTAAGTGGGGCTGTAGGATTGGAACTAAACTGTGCAGTGCCTCCAGGAGTTTGGGCCTATAGGGATTATAATCTTTTTTTTTTTTAATAACTAGTGTCTTTTCCATTAAATGATACTATTTCAAATATTAAAGCTTGTTCATTACATACTATTTTTAATTTATTAGATACCAATACTCTGCTGATACTAATTACTGGAAACTATTTAATAGGCATTAGCATTCGTATTCGTCCAATCCTAGTAACATTTTAATTAATATTTGTAGTTATTCATTAGGTTCCACTAGTACTTATTTATTAGATACTCATATGTTATTACTGTAGCAATAGTTATTACTTTACCAGTCACGTCTACCTTTTTTTGTGCTTTTTTTTGCTGCTTAGTAACATTTTAGAAAAAGTATGGGAGACCTGTCATTTTATTCACTATATTTGTTTTATTGTATTTTATTTATTTATTTATTATTTGTTTAAATCTATTAAACTCATACCTGTACAGTCCTTTGCATGGTGAACACCTGTTGTTTGACTTTGAATGTCGACTAGATAATAATATCCAATCAGGAAGTACTAATAAATAACTACTATTATCTTTTTATAAGGTATTTAAGGTGTAAGAGTATTAGTATTAAGGTATTGGTATTAGGTATTAGAGTATTTAAAGAAGTACTGGTATCTAATAAATTAGAATAAGCATCTAATGAATAAATATCAGTGTGCAGTAATTAAGAACAATTAAATAACATTTAATAGGTAAAATGTATAAATTTATGATTGATTAGTACTGATAGCGTAAGTTTTTAGGTCACTTTAACTTATTAAACTAGGTTAATAACGTTATAACTTTTATATGTTATGCAAGCTGTTTTAAGTCAGATTGACATAATATAAGTTCAATAGACTCGCTAATTTAATTCAGCTTAAAAATTTAGAATTACCAGGATTCTTTTATAGTGAGGAGATATATTTAATTACTAGTATATTTAATTATTAATATAATAATTTACTACTTGTATCTAATGATAATTAAAATTATATAAATAAAATAAGTACTTGTAATGAATAGTCAGTACGAGAGCACATGCTGGTGCTCACAATCAAACATTTTCATTACTAAAAGAATATATGAATATGAAGTTATATAATATATGAATATATAAAATATGAAGTTTGTCATTACAATGAAAAATGCACTCATTGCTTATCCAATAAGTGGTAGTATCTATTAAATAAGCATCTAAAAATATAGATACTCATATATAAGTCCCGGGCGGCACAGTACCTCAGTGGTTAGTAATGTCGCCTCACAGCAAGAAGGTTGCTGGTTCAAGTCATAGTTCGGTCAATTGGCATTTCTTTTTGGAGTTTGCATGTTTTCCTTGTGTTGACGTGGGTTTCAACCGGGTTCTCTGGTTTCCCCTACAGTCCAAAGACATGCGCTATAGATTAACTGGACGAACTAAATTGTCCATAGTGTATTTGTGTGAGAGTGAGTGTTTCCCAATACTGGGTTGTGGCTGGAAGGGCATCTGCTGCATAAAACATGTGCAGGATAGTTGTACTCTCTAAAGAATAAGCTCTAGCAGCTGAGTAATAAGTATTAGTAAACGGCAAAAGTAAGCCCAAGGCACTTAAAAAATTGGAAAAAAAATATTAAAAAGCCTTTATTGACTTGGGTATTCCTTAAAACTGTGCCTATGCGTTTTGCCATACACTTGCTTTCATCAGGGTTCCTTATTTTTTGACTTACTCTAGCTGTTTATTCTGATGAATCCCTTACCCAATAAGAACTGACACATTAATTAAGCTACCCTTAAGCACTTTTTGCTTGATTTTGGATTAACAATTACTATTTAATGGTAACTATACTGTAAAAATATCTGTTAACTGTTTTCTTTACGGTTGTGAATTGCATTATGGGACCTTGATCTCTGCTCTGGACTCTTAATGTTGAAAATTCTCTAAAGTTCAATTAAGTGACTTTTATTGACATTGGAGTAGTTTGAAATAATATAATGTATGAGAAACAATGAGAAATAAGTCTGTTAAATACCAAAATGTTCTGCCAGGTTATTACAAGGTTATGGACCCTTATCACAAGACTGTTATGGTGTGTTTAATATTCATCATAATTCTAAATCCTTAAAAGCCTTTAATAATTTTGATTTTTCTTTTTTTATATGCGTGTACATTTTATATGTATTATATCATCTTTGCATCAAATTACAAAAGATGAATTACTGTGCAAGGCGTTTCTAATGCAGTGTCAACAGGTGGGACTGTAAATCTGATGTTGTTATCTCTTCTAGAGGTCCTTA